GCGAGTCATCACACACCACCCTAACAAATGTCTACCTTATCTATGATGTTTACTCATCATAACTACGAGAGCACACATGGTATCCTACCACAACACCCCTCCCACGCACGTATCACCCATAGCATGCTGCGAGCTATTGGGAAGTTTGATCCTCTGCTCTCTAGCTTTGCCAAGTCTATTTTAAGCTGCTAGAACCATCCTGCAGTATTTAGTGAAGGCAGGAAAAGGTACTACACCACAACTAAGTAACAACACTTGCTCTCTGTATGAACATCTTAAAGGTCCCATGTCATGCTTTTCCGGTTATTACCGTCCCTTGTGTGTTATGAGGTTTTTATGCATGTAAACGGTCCTGGCAGAGCAAACCTCAGTACACCCTAGTAAGCGAGTAAATCTAACAGAAAATACCTCCAACCAAAACGACCTAGTTATGAGAGAATAAAACGTACTGTCCATTGATAATACTTCTGGGTAACTCATAATATCATGCGTTACCCGGAAACCAAATGGACCAATCCGTGGAGCCGTTACGTTAAGCCCCCGCTGATTGGTCCAAATTGACCAATCCACGGACTTCCTCACACACACACTCAGTGCATGCAGCTCTGCTGATCTCTCCTCCCTGGCTGCAGGCTGATAACAGACAGTTGGGATCGCGGCGAAATTCTCTCTGCAGACCCATTCTCACAGCGTTTATCAACCTTTTATCAACCTTTTTCTTACTCAATATCAAGCCACACTTATTGTTTTTACTTCGGCTGTGACTTTGTGTGTGCTCAGGGTGAGTTTGGCTGTGTTTCGCTGTGTATCGCTAAACAAGGAAACCACACCTCCACGGAGCTCAGCGCGATTCACAACGTCCCGACCAATCAGAGCACACTGGGCTCAAAGGGAGGGTGGGGGCTGGAGCTATTGGAGCTACAACGAGCCGTTAAAGGCAGAGAGTGAAATTCAGTGAATACACGTAGTTTACAGAGATGCTGTATGAGAAACCGAAGTGATTTTGGAAAATTGCACAATATAAATCTATTCTAGTAGACCTCAACAATGGAATTATGATCAGTGGAAATGGCCATGACATGGGACCTTTAAAGTACCAACTAACGCCACAAAACTGCCTTTCCAGCTCATGCTTGGTGATCTTTTTGAACAGAAATAACAGATTCAGTGAACACTGATTTTCACAAGCAAGCACTAATTTGGCGTAAATCATCAAACACAAGCCGGAACAGGAATGCTTTGAGCTCTTTTGCATGCGGTTGTGGTTGAAGTGTGTAGCATGAACTGGAGTTTTATTCCGACGTGGTATTGGTTGTGTTATTGGTTGCTATATAAATAAACTTGCCTTGCCTTGCCTTTCTCGTGTTGTCTTCTGCTTTAAAAACAAACCATTTGTAGGTTAACAAGACAATATTAGCGCTAGTATTTGGGCCTGATCCCTAATGAAAGACAATTTTTGTGTTTTGCTACTGTTTGTGCAGGATTCAGTGTATTAATTAAACATTTCAAGATTGGCGAATATAGAAAACGCTGTTAAGTCTTCCTTCAATTTGTTGTTGCTTTGACATCATTGATCTCAGTGAGTCCTCTTCTTCACCTCCTCTCATTGATCCTCTCTGCTCTCCAGTTTCTTTACCACGCCTGGATCACTGACCCCAAAGCTGCGCTAAGAGCACGAGCCAAAGAGAAACGCAAATTTTGGAAAAAATACACAAAAGTAGTGAGACGTAAAAAAAACAAAAAGAAAGATGGTAAGCAAGTTATGGAGAAAGAACCTCAAATCAAACAGACTTCCAAGTCATGTGTGTGTGAAGGAAATGTCTCTTAACCGTAACTGTGTGTCTTCACTGTCCTTCAGCAGGTCATGTGACCATAGATCTTGGTGAGCTCTCAGATGGGCAAGACAAACGAGAGGAGGAAAACCCAAATGGTCCAGGTTGGTTAACTTGATTTTGTGGTATTAAATTTCATCGTCAAAATACTAAATCTTGAATTGAATCATGAATAACCCTTGTGATTTTCTCATTGCCACTAACAGCCACAATATAGCAAGTTCTGTATTGAAGTTTTATCAATGCGAGTGTCTCATTCCCTCCCTCAGATAACATCATCAAGCGAGTGTTCAACATCCTGAAGTTCACCTTCGTGCTCTTCCAGACGACGGTGGACAGCTTCACGCAGTGGATGAACGACATGTGCAGAGAGTACATCGACATCTCCACGGTGCTGCGAATAGAGCGCTGCATGCTGTCCAGAGAGGTCAAAAAGGTATGTTTTAATGCAATATATTCTTGTTTTATGTAACAGTTTCTTAGCTATTTTAAGGCCTTTAATGTGATAAAAGGTCAAATATATAACATTTCAACTTTCAAAATGTGTAAATACGAGACCTATGATCGGTCTTATCCCGAAAGATAAAAAAAACAAGTATAATAAACACTTTTAAAATATATACCATAACCACATAAAGAATTGTAGTCATCAGACATCTAGATCTTTTAGTTAGTAGCAGCCAAGATTAGCAAATGTTGGCGGAAAGCTTGCAGCCTTTGGATCCTAAGTTTTGTCAAAGAAACTTTCATTTGAAATGACATAATCTATGCTTTTAACTGTTTACACACCATGTTGTTGTTTTTGGAGAGAAGGACATCTGTGCAGATAATTGTGCTCCCGGTAAAAATCTGCTGAATAATTAACAATAAAGAAATCCTGACCAGAGACGCTAAATGAAATGATGGCCATTGCGGTGAAAACAACCAACTTTCCATCAAATGTCATTTGTTGATTGTTTGTTTAAGAGAGCCCTAGTTGCTGACGATTACATATTGTACCTTTTTAAGAGGACCACTGAATGATTATCTTCCCCCAGGGCAACGTGCCGTCCAAAGACAGCATCCACGTCCTGTACCAGAAGGCCATGAAGCTCAACATGTCCCGCCAGGCCAGCCTGGATCAGCTGAGTGAGGACGACTCGGCCTCGGCCTCCACCAGGCTGCGCAGACGGAGGAGACCGTACCCCATGGAGAGCCAGGACTCCACGGCCTCCAGAGACAGCATCTCCAGGTACACTGAGCAAAGCGATGCAACATGGGAGACCAAAAGAGTCAATGTTTCAGGGACTTTCCTTTTCAGGTAGTACACTTAAAGAATTATAACTTTTCTCTGCACAGGAGAAAGACATTTACGTCACGCTTAGGAAAACAAGCAATGTAAATCCATATACATAAACACTATTGCACAAATATGTTAATAATTATTGACCAAAGCATGACTGGACATTAATTGAACATGTACCATGCTCTTACCCTGTCAAGTCACACATTGGTACAGATTTGTCACAGTTTTTTCGACGTGATTTGTCGCTAAGAAATGTTTCATCGTCAAGGAGGAAGTAATGAAACATAACGTTGTCTAAATGCTAAAACGTGCTTTCTTATGATCACTTGTAGCTCCAGATGTGTATTTATTTGTGGTTTGGGTACCTCCAATAATTGTTTACTTACTATCCTCTTTTTTTATGAACACATGCAAATTGTTTTGCTTCTGGTTGACCAGGTTTTAAGAAGAGAGAAAAATATTAGATTTTTCAAAATGTTATTATCAAACAATATTCCATTTGCGTCACTCCCTGAAATGTATAAGACAGATTTCAAACCCTTGGCCAATACAACTTAAACTATTTGCATTGCTAGATAGCCCTGGGGTTAATGGGAAAAAGTCAAAACAACCCTTCAAAGCAGCCATTACTAGCATAAGTAAATTCTATAACATCACCATTTCATCCTCACTCTCGGTTGCATCTCATGTTTTTGTTTTGTCATGATGAAGTTTGAATTCCTTTTCATTTCATGGTAAGGTTGGATTCAACGTTTTTGTATCCCCTGTCAGTGTGACCTCACATCCCCATCTCATTCCCCTCATCACTAATCATCACCTGTCACACCTCTCAGTGGGTACACCGAGGCCACCAATCTGTTTTCTCGCCAATCCACCCTGGAAGACCTGGACGGGATGCCGGAGTGCATTCCCAAAACCAGCGAGCGCGCCCGGCCCAAACTGCGCAAGATGTACGGCCTCGACGCCTCCACCTCCTCCGTGGACAGCTGCAGCAGCTTCATGTCCAGGTGCCTGGCCTCTGCATCCCCCACACACACACCTGTGTTCTCATCTTCACCCACATCAATCATGATTTATCAACAGATCCATTTCCTGTTGATTTCTCACTTCAGCTGTATCTTTGTATCTCCATTTTGTTTATTGCATCTGGTCAAAAACTCAAAAATAACAACAAAATGTTTGTTTTTTATTATTTTTGAGATACAAGGTTTTTACCTAATAACAGTGACATGAAAAGCTGTTTCAAATCAAATCAAGTTTTATTTATAAAGCAAGTTTTTAGAACGATTTTTGGTCGAGCCAAAGTGCTGTACATACAATAAAAACACTTTTCAACAAATACAACAGCACAAATAAAAAATCACACACAGGGAAAAGTCAGGAGTCGTGCTCCGCTCAGACTAAAAGGCCAGGGAGAAGAAGTGTGTTTTAAGTGTATTTAAAAAAAAACCTAGGGTCTGGGCCGACCTCACATGGAGGGGCAGAGTGTTCCAGAGCCTAGGGCCAGCTGCTGCGAAGGCTCGGTGCCCTCTGGTTTTGAGCCTGGTCTTGGGCACTATCAGCAGCAGCTGGTCAGCAGACCTTAAAGCTCTGGCTGGGGTTTAGCGATGGAGGATTTTGGCTATATAGGCCAGAGCCAGCCCATTTAGTGCTTTAAAAACAAATAAAAGGAGTTTCAAATCAATTCTGAACCGAATTGGAAGCCAGTGTAATGAGGCCAGAATTGGGGTGATGTGGTGACGCTTTTTATGGCCAGTGAGAAGACGCGTAGCTGCGTTCTGCACTGGCTGCAGGCGTCTAATTGAGGCCTCGTCCGTACCCACATACAGAGCGTTGCAATAGTCCAGCCTCGAGGTAAACAAGGCTGACAAAGTATGGTCTGTTCCTCCTCAGCAATTGCGATGCAGTAATTCAGGGTTGTAATAAATATCACTTTTCTTGTTTCAGTGTTCATATAAACAAACAATGCTTCTTTATTTTCTCCAGTTAATTCAATACAAATGTAGTTTAACCCATTTAACTGATGTTTTACGTGTTGAAAAATACTGTACACTAATACTGCTTTTAATCACATAAAAGTGTCTCATAAGCCATTTATTAAATATAAATTATTATCTGTTCTAATTATTATTTAAATGAAAAACCTATGCCTTATCCATGGGTAGGGTGTAGCGTTAAAAATAATTCAGTTACAGCAAAACTCACGGATGGTTAGAAATAAAAAGGCGTCAAAAGATGTGGTAATAGATTATATTATCGTATGTGGGCACACCTGGCTACTGCTGAGAGAAGTGCAAGCAAGCAGATATTTGATCATTTGAATATTTTGTATGACTCCGCTCTTTTTCCCGCCTGCAGTGAAGCGACCCAGGTTGTGATGCTGTACTCCAGGCAGGGCACCACAGACACCATAGAAGAAGTGGAGGATGAGCACGATCAAGGGGAAGACAAACAGCAGGCGGCTCCCTGGGAGTCCCAACAGCTGGACGAGAGTGAGGGGGCCGAGGGGGGCGGCTGGAGTGATGCAGACCCCAGGGACCAAAAGGAGGAGGAGGAGGAGGAGGAGGAGGAGGAGGAAGGTGAGGAAGGGATGGAGGTACCAAAGGAGCAGGAGAGAGAAAAGAAGGCTCCCTGGGACTCCCTCGGCCCAGATGAGGGCCCCTCGCTCAGGGTGAAGGAGACAGAGTCCGCTCAGGAGAAGGACTTCACCACTGACAGTGAGGAGGGGGCAGGACAGCCGGGCTTCACCCCCACAGAGGGGAGAGTCGGGCTGATTTACACTCCTGACACAGACGCTTCCAAAACGTCCGACGCTGAAATTCCTCCGAGCTACAGCAAGGCCGTCAGCTTCGACCGCCTGGAGCTGAGCGACGACGAAAGCGACATGGACAGGAAGAGGGGGGGGCGGATGTTGATGACCTCCGACAGCCGCTCCGACAGCAGGTCCGACCTCATGCTGCCCTCCATGACAACCGAGCTGACCGCCAGCGAACTGCTGCTCAACAAGTGAGTCGACAAACTGAAGCCTTCTAGCATGAAGAGTCACACGAAGCAGTTGTCTCAGGATGCTTTGATGCAGATTTATATTGGTTTCTTAATCATTTTAAATAAATTGCACCAAGTAGTTTTTAACCTTTTTGTAAATGTTGTTGAAGTCTGTAGGTTGTTGTTTTTGTCAACTTGTAATCGTTCTGCATTTCTTTGTAGTTGTTTTGCGTTTTTTCGTTGTTCTCCTTTTGGTCTTTTTGGGTTAATTGTTTGTCTCTTTATAGCCATGTTGACTCTGAGGTTGTTTTGTACCTGTTTTTGGTCTTTATGCACTTCTTTGAGACTTTTTTTTTTTGAATCTTTTTGAAGACATATTATAGTTTGCTTTACTTTTGTAGGACGTGCGATTTTTTTAATTTTCGTTTTCTAATTTTTTTTTATTTAATTTTTTTTAGGACTTGCGATATTAAGTAGGCAAATTAACTCAAACACGTCATGTTACAATTATTTTGCTGCTTGCTACAAAACGAAAACTTGCGCGGAGTGACGTGCAAGCTCTGCA